TTAAATTAAATCTTGCTGACATCAACTAACCACCTTAATGAAAAATCCACTGTACTCCGAAAGTAGTCCGAAAAGTTCTGATTGATATGGACCGGTCCTTGCCCTTTGTAAAATCAGGTTTTTCTAAAGTAGAATGTAAATACGATTTGGCTTGGCATAATTCTTTTGGTTGCTGCCTCAACTTTCTTGTTCTGGGCTGATACTGATAGATGGCGTTCAGGCTTTGTATTTGCATGTATTTGTGTTAGGACACAGTGGGATCAGGCTCTCGTCAAGTTTTTGGTTTATGGAGTTATTGGTATGATCTTGTTTTTCTTTTGATGAAAAGAAACACCCATGTACAGTGCTCCACAGCAATGACTAATAAAAGGACCACCGTGACCATCATGATATGATGTCCCTGTTATGGCTGGGGATCAAATTTAATACACTGCAACTCATGATTAACTAATGTGATCACTTTTATTACATATATTAAACACTACCAATTTATTAGTTATCTTTACTTTCTATTTCCAGTGATATTTTTTTCCTCGTCATATTTATCTTATTGCTAGTATAGTAGTCTCATAGAGGTTGACTAGACATAATTATATTGAAGTGCATGGGTAATTACTAATAACAATACTTGCATTTTTATAGCAGCACTTGTACATGCTTGTCTGAGTCTACAGCATAGTTTCTGTGCTTTACAACTATTTATAATCAGATATTTGCCACATTTAGGAAAAGGATTAAACAGATCTGCGGTAGATCTAACACCTTGTACCTTCTTTTCATTCAATCATTTATTCCGTAACAAGTTTAGCTACCCCGTGGGTGCTAGACCAAGGTCGTGCTAAATTGCTAAATGTATATATGCATCAACACCAAAGTACATCCAGCTTTCCTCCCTCCCCTGCACAGTTGATACTTATTTTGACTTTTTACTTTTTCATCCTCTGTTGCTGTTAAGCGTCGAGGGGAGATGCAGTTTTCTATGGTAGGCCAGCTCTGCAGCTCTTTCAGTTGTGATATTGTTTTCTCAGGGTTTCCTTGGCACTCTCGATCCACCTTTTGCGTGGCCTTCCTCTTCCTTTATAGCCTGAGTGCTTGGTGTTGTAGGTTCTCGAGGCTGGTTGGCCTGGTGACATACGCAACAGGTGACCAAACCGTTTCATTCTCTGTCTTTCTATGTAATGCAGGCAGGACTCAATGCCGATAGCTGCTCTTATTTCTTCATTTCTCTGCCTGTCTCGTCTTGTGATGTTTTGCAGAGACATTTCATTTCGCATGCGGTGATTTTGCTTTCATGGGTTTTACTTAATGTCCAGGTCTGGCACTAATAGCATAATGTTGGTATTAATATCGAGGTGACAAGCTGTCTCTTTGTGTCCATGGAGGTGTTTGGGTGAGATAGGATGGGTGCAAGCTTGTAGGTGACAGCATTGGCTTTTTGGGTTCGCATTTCTATTTCTCTGTCTATGGCCTATGGACCCGTCCGTTTTAAGAAAAAGTACTGCCAAGATATATAACTCCTTCACCTGTTCCAGTTGTTTACTAATGACATTTATGTTCAGGGGACTATGGTTTCAGCTCACTTTCACAACTTCTGTTTTTGATATGCACAGTTGATATGATATTTAAAATGTGTTCACAATCAACTTGGCCCAACTGTGAGTCACATAGGACCATCATTTTGGGCTTTTTTCTGCTTTATTTTCTGTTTTAGTTTTGTGTCAATGGTTGGACCACTATTGTTACAGCCAAGCATGTCTGTCTGAATGCTTGTTGTAAAAGAACTTTTTACTATGCATAAAAGAGATGAGACTGCCATAGCTGAAATCCTGTTATAACTGAGACTGTTATAAGTAGGGCCCATTGTATCTTAAGTAGAAGTCAAGTGAAGGTGGGGTGTCGCCTGGGGTCAGATGTAAAAGTAGCGAGAAAATGGCTGCCAGTTTGGTAGCATCCAAAGCCTGGGTGTCCTTGGAATTTGCAAACGTACATTATTTGTGCCGTTGATCAACATTTGCCAGTAAATTCCGCACAGAAATATGTTTTTGAATAGACAAAAAAGGTATTGAGTCTCCCCCCCCCCCCCCCCCCAAAAAAAAACCCCCAACAACAACAAAAACCCCCAAAAAATCTGATAAAAATTGCCCAGCGGAGGGAAAAATTTTGATTTCTTCAATTTCATTATAATGACAAACGCCTGATTCCACCATGACGCCACCCATTTCTTTCCTTACATTTTTGGAGGGTACATGTATTAAATATGACCTTGCAGTGCGAATAATGCAGCAGCACTGTGACACTTTTGGAGGTTTGTGATGGGTACTGTTTGTTCTTACTATCCCTTTGTTTTTTTTCCACACATACTTGACATACATAATATTGAAGATAATACGTGTACTTTAAAGCCCTTAATGCAGAGCACAAAGCTTTAGGTCAATAAACAGACACCGCATATTGTTTGTATGATCATCAGTTCCTTTTTTTACTTACTTGCATCGTCTTTCATTACAAACCGAGGAAAACTGTAGAGGAAGTGAATAGGCCAGCAATTTTGTAGGTCAGGGGTCATCAACCTCCAGCCTTTAACGTAGGCCAGTGTTAACCTTATGTGAGTTTCTGTCTGGCCCAATGCTCCTCAACTTATTTATTTTAAAAATCTGACCAAATTAACTTTACTGTGACTATGATCATAATATATACATTGTTTCCTTTCTGCAAAAAGACACTCTCGGACTTGTTTTGAGGAGAGACCAATGTACACATTAGTCATGAAATGCCCGATATCCCTATGTTTTTCACCCACATCTGGAATCGTTTGTCTTAAACGTTTTATTGCACATATTTACTAAAAGATATAATTAGACGGAAGGGGAATAAATTATTTTTATTTGTGCTTTTAAATTTCAAATTAATAGAAATACTGATCAATCTAAATTTAAGTAACTTATTAAGTCGTCTTTGAACTTACCACGATTCTGACTTATTTTGGTTCATTTACTACTTTCAGGGGAAATACAAATGGAGGAAGGGTTCCAAAGAGTTCATTTAGTTAACTCTTTCAGAATTTTGTGCAATTCTGAATCCAACTGAGTAATTTCGCTGTTGTGCATGTCATTGCAGTTAAAGGGTGCGAGTAGTATTTTCTACTTCTTTACTTTCCCTTTTGTTTCTGTCTGTTTTGCCTTTTCCTTATTAAGCTGAACGTCTGTTACTGTGTCAGTGTACTTCTGTTTACTGAAAAACAAAAAAAGTAGCTCATGTCATTCTGTTCTTCTTGGAAGGAGCATGTTGTGAGCTCAATTGGTGTCATGCGGTATTGGGGCAAAGGCAACCCTTGTTTGAATTTCCTGCTGGGCATACAAGAACTTAGGGGTTTTTTTTGCTTTATTTTTCTTCACCCTCTTATTGCTGTCATAGACTCTTGGAGGTGGGTGTTGTACCAAAGGTACTGCCTTTTACATATTTCAAAGAAGCATTTAAAGGTGGGTGGTTGGAGAGTGCTCTGGTGTGGTTTGCTCCTTCTTTCCTATCAAACATCTATCGGCCTTACCTCTCCTCCTTTTTTGTGTATGTTACTCTCTTGTAACACCTCAATTCTTCAGCACTTATATGACCTTATTGTGTTGCAAGTGCCGTAAACTCTTGCTGTGGGTGGTTGGCAGGTGTTCTGGTGTGGTTTGCTTCTTTCCTATGAAACGTCTATCGTCCTTATCTCCCCTTCTTCTTTTTTATGTTTGTTACTCTCTTGTAACACCTCAAATCTTCTGGCGCTCATATGACCTTATGCAGTTGCGAGCGCCGTAAAACCTCTGCTAAAACTAACTTCTTGCTAAAACTAAAGACCCAGACCTTACCGTTGGTGAGCGCCACCAATAGGTCCTACTTTTTTGTGGCGTCGGTGGCCTAGTGGTTAGGCTCTCGGGCTCGCAACTGCAAGATCGTGGGTTCGAATCCCGTCAGGGGCCCGACGTTGTGTCCTTGGGAAAGGCACTTGCAAAAATTTCCCTCACTTCTCTCAGGTGGAAATAGGTACCCGGCTATAGACTGTGAATGATCTTGTCAGTTTGATAGTGTTTGAGCGCGTAAAATCTGCAGCTTGCACTGTATGCTTCCGCCGAAGCCGAGAATGTTTCAGAGTGTTCTCAGAGGGTCTGCTGGTGTAATAATGGTTATAAAGCGCATAGAGCATACTCCTGAGCATGGATATATGCACTATATAAATACAGTTATTATTATTATTACTTTTTCACTTTTCCTCTGTTGTTTGTGTCTGTCAGTCTTACTTTTTCTCAAATAAATGACGATTATTATGTCGATTTGTTTCTCTTTACCCAAACAAAATCCAGACCAATCCTAACAAATCTCATAGCACTTTACTAAATGTAGCAAAAGTGTTGTAGTCCCTACTTGCTTTTCAACTCGTTCACACCAAATCATTATGATGGCAAAAGGGTTTTCAATTCTCTCACATTTTTTTAATGTCAAAACTGAGAGATGGTAATAACTTATGGTAGAGATGAGTTTTAGTGGTAATGGCAGTGTGGTCATTGTAAACAAGGATGAATCACTATGCATGAAGTGACAAAGGTTTCATCTTCATTCTATTTTTCGGAAGAGTCGCCCTCAAGAAGTGCTTCTATAATGAAAGAAAAAAGTGCATGGTGGAACATTTAAACGGCTTTTGTTAGATTAAACATTTTTGGAAATGAAACAAGACTTTAGTTTGTCATAATGAGGCTGCCATTGGTTAAGTGTGTGTATTTCGTCTTTATGTGTAAGGAATGGATTCAGTTTTCCAGCTTTTTAGCCACCAAGCAAGATTGTTTCTCATAACAACTAGATTTTTATATTGAAAGCTGGAAGATTCCCAGTATGTTCTTATTCATTTAACTGGCACTCTTGGATTAACATGCGTTTGAATTCAGACTTTGCTAGAAGTGTTCGATTGTGGGAAGACAGATGAGGCAAGGCTGTCGTCACTGATAAGTCCTCCCCCTTTTCAGCCTTGCGGGCTCTGCATGCAGACTCCGAGCACCTCGTCCGTACATCCCCGGTCTCCTCCCCTGCTGACTTGATACAGGATGATTTCGAAATGTCGGCAGGGGTGTCTGCTGGTGCTAAGGATGATCCCTTTATCCACACTGCCAGGCAGACAAAATGGGCAGTCGCTCGAGCCAGAGGTGAGTTCTGGTTTTATCTTTTTTGTGTTAGTCAAATAAAAATGGTTGTTCCTGGAGGTTGTATGATGTAAAACCTATTTTTCTCCCAACAAAATTTCCATGTGTCATGGAAACTTTTGGAACACCATGTGGAATAAAATCTTATAAAGTTTTTCTCACAGCTTGGAGTTTAAGTAAAGTATGAAAGTAAATGTAAATGTTCATTATAAGGGCTGTTACTTTAGCAAAGGGGAAGTGTTCCACTTGTGTGTGTGTGTGGGGGGGGTGTAATCAAGTGCATTAGTTAGAATTACGGTAATGGTATTGATGTGAAGTATATAGTAATTTTGAATCAATTTTTTAAGAAAGAATCCTGCTCTATTTTTCATATCGATGTATGATGAACCGGATTGCAATAGTAGTATTTTGATATTGATACCTTTTGGCTACAGTTGAAATGTTTGAAGTCATGCCTTGTGAAATGTGGTAGTTTTTTTTATACTGATAATGACATTTTGTCTTTAAAAAGCTTAAAAGGTGATTTAGATCATAAGTCTTTTGGTTGCAAAAGTGGAATGTGATGCTATTTATATTGTGGAATACTACAACTTTTAAAAACTTTGTTTTCTCCTAGGTTTGTTTAATACAGTGTTTATTCCTTTATGGTGTCATTGTTCTTTTGGGCAGTTCCTTTGGTATAGATTTTTTTCTTAATCGCAAAAATTACAGTTCTGGTTACACTTTTGAATTCTGACTTTAAAGTTCCATGCATGCTTTGAAAACTTTTGTTTGGGTTTTTTAGGTTATTTTAGATTCCTTCATTAAGCAATTTTATTAGTCTGGCGAAATTTACAAGATTTAGTTAGTTGATTCCGAATTTTTTCCCCGTTTTCAGAATGGCTGACTAACCATGGTATGAGCCCAGAATTTGAGATATTCACGGAGACACAGCTGAACCAGATGATGGCAGGCTTCTATACAACTGGACAGAAAAAAGGTGGAGCTCCTTTTTCTGCCACAGCTCTGCTGGCATTTCGAACAGCCGTGAACAGACACTTAAATAAGTGTGGGCGTCAAATCAGCCTTGCGACATCACATGCTTTTAAAGAATCAAATGCTGTCCTGGCCAGAATTCAGTCAACGTCGGTCAGAATAAGTAAGACTATTTCTGTGGGTGACATTAAATTGTTGTACTCCAATGGTACCTTGTCTAACTCAAACCCTCAGTCCTTGCTTCATAAAGTTTGGTTCGAGCTTCAGATTCATTTTCGAGCTAAGATTGACTGGAGTCAAGTGAGCGCTGAACAGTTCTTTTTTTCACATGATCCCTTGGGTCGTGTGGTAGTCACATGGAACACACGAGGCTACGGCAACTGTAATGAAGTGACTATGATAGAACCCAATGGAGGCCCTTATTGCCCTGTTCAGTCTCTTCGTCTCTACCTGCAACACCGTAACCGGAGCCACAAGGCCTTTCTGCAAGTACCTGTTGCTCGGCTGGACAGTCCGTCATCTGCCTGGTATCTGCCTGAAGAAGTCCGTGACCACAAGGAGAAGCAGATGATGAAAAAGATCTCTGCCCTGGGCAAGCTGAGCCAGATATACACCAACGCCTGTGTGCTGGCCAGCTTTGAGGAGCACTTTCAAGCAATCTCTAGCTTCAAGCCTGTGTGATTTCTCTTTTCAGTGTTAGCTGATGTCTCTGTGCCAAAAAGCCCATAATAATGTGATCCCAGATGGAAGTATATGTTAAAAATGTTTTAATATTTAAGACAAACTTGGATTTCCCATAGTACTGTGCTTGTACTTGTTTTTCTGTGTTGTCTGGATAAACTTCAGAGGTAGTAGATAAAGGTTTTTTTTCTCTCCACAAACTGCAACTGAGTTTACCTTCCTCAGTTTTTTTTTTTTATTACTTTTGCTAAAGATTTTGAAAGGAAAAATTATTTATTGACTTTATATTGATACAGTGATGTCCTCTTAACAGCAACACAGACAAGAGCAACGTCCACCTCACAGCAACTTTAGCTTGTGTATCGTAACTTATCCTATATAAAAAAATCCCGATTTAAGAGCAACCTTTTCCTCTAACAGCAACCTTCTATGCTTTAAGTTAACGAAAATCATTTAATGAAGATTCAAAAACTTTAAACAGCGACACTGGCCTATAATTTCAGTGCTCCTCAAAACAACTGGGCGGGCCAAAATTTCATGATGCTGAGTACAGGAGTTAAGTTCAGTTCACGCCCTCTCACCAGGAGCTAAGAACAGGCACGAGCCAAGAAAAGTACCCGTTTCTCGCGAGAACGGCCCTTCCCGTCACTTCCCGGCCACTAAACTACTGGCCGGTTCCGAGAAGTCATACCACTTATTGGCTTGACATAACGAGAAAATGAGAGGTGCCGACAGAAAGAGAAATGACACGCAGACAGTGTCACCCATCACCGTGTCGTCGTGTGTCTGAAACTGAAAGGGAGGGGAGAGGGTGGCTTGGCGAGTTGATCAGGGCTTAGGCCTAGGCCAAGGACCTTACTGTGTAACCTCCGTGGCCTAGGCCTAGGTCTCCCTACCTTTCTTCACCGCCTGCGCCACATGGCTAGCCTAGTTTAGATCCCAGCCACGGCCGGCTTTCTCGCTCAACGAGCTGCTCGTCCAACTGCGAGAGACGAGAAGCACTTCTTGGGACCGCCCGACGAGAAATGGATTAGCTTCCCGATCTGCTCGCTCGCGAAGAAAAAATACTATATGTTATATCGTGGGTTTGGGTTATCATAACTTTGAAGTTTAGAAGCCCTTTTCCCCCACCCATGGAAGTTCAGGGAGCAGCAACGTCCGCCTAATAGTAGGTACCACAAGCGAAATTTTTTTGGAACAATATTGACGTTTAAACCTCAGGGGTTCAAATCTACTCTATGAAACAAGAACATTAAAAAAAAGAATTATCAAAATCCATCAATAAACAATGGAGATATGGTATTTCAAAGTTTTATTTTTGAACGAAACCTTTTCAACTGCGACTTTCACCCATGTTTGAGGTGTTCTAAAATACAAAGTGCATGATGAAATCAATGAAAAGTTTGTTTTTCCCAGAGCTGTCAACACAAATATTGATATCTCTAAATCAAAGCATGTTAGAATGACTGGCTTCCAAGATATAGGCCTTCAAAAATTGGGGGAAAATGCCAAAATTTGTCATTAAGAGCTCAGAACCCTATTTTAACCTCTTCCAAATTAGTCAAAACTGCCTCCTCATTAGTGAAAATCACACAATCATTACAAATACATGCATAGACTTAGCTGAATTTTTTTCAGACCTCTCTGACCATAAGTAAATTTTCTGGACTCCTCTGAAGTGGGCTTCGGTGCAAAAAACGCCTCTTGGAAAAAAATTAGGGGAACTCTGGTACATCCTCGGGCAAAAAGCATCACAACAAGTGAACAAATTAAGCTACAGGGCTAAATCGTACATCAAATTAAAGCTCAATGCAAGCTCTACGGGGCCAAATGAAAATTGTTTACTAAAACCTCTCATAACACTCCATAATAGGGCCCTAATGCCCAAAAACCTGCCATTATTGAGTGAAAATTATAAACGTCTGCCGACTGGAAAAAAAAATCATATAAAATCAACAAATTGTGCTACAAGGCTGCATTATATATCAAACTAAAGCTCTTTTCAGGCTCTGTACAATGGATTAGTTTATAGAAAGAAAAAAAACTTCCAAACATTTCAGATATGTGGACAATAATGTGGAAAAAGTCATCAATATTGGTTCAGAAATTAAAGATTTCTGCTTAGGGGGTTTAAAAATTGGAATTAAATCAACATACTGTTCTGCCATGGTTCATCTTGTATAATATAGATCTAGTTCTAGATTTATTTATCATTTTAGCTGAGAAAGAAACCAGTGGCTGGGGAAATACAATGTATCATCGTGTGTCCAGTAAGTGGATGGAAGAAAGAGGGGGGGTGGGGGGGCATTTCTCCAATTAGCTATCAGGTGACATCTAAGTCTAAATAAGTCTAAGAATACGTAAAAAGGCTGGTTGATTCAATAATTGAATATCCACCAATCAAGATCGTAGATCTAGCCTTTTTTGTTACCAAAGTAAGTGCCAAACAATAGATCTACGAACATTTCCATCGGTAACACTAACACCCGGTAACCCCCTTCCGAGTGTTAAGTAGTGTGTGATGACATGTTACTATAAATAGAACTCCCAGTTCTACTCTTCACGGCTTAGATTTCAATGCATTTAGAATAAAGGTGTTCTTAGTTGAAAAGACAGCAAAAATACCACCACGAAGCGATACATTTGTATAGATCGCAATTAATTCACTATGAGGTGGGGCAAATGTAGGTCGACGTGATTCCCACCAAACAATAACAATCCAACCACACGGCAAGTGGTGGCCGATTAGTCTTATTTTTCAAAACACAATGTTCATAAGTATCCTAAAAGAAAGTTGTGATAATACTTACATAAATTGACGCCATAAACAGATCTATCGAATGTTACTTTTACTGAACCATCATTATAATCGTCTGCTGGTTGGGTCAAGTCAGAGGGAGTGGAAATGGGCGATGGAACAGCTGCAATGGCAGAATGACGACCTCCCGAAAGTGGTTGTTACCCCACTTCAGAAAAAGTAATATTTCTACTTTGTGGAACGTAGTTGGCTTTTCTAAACTCATAAACATGATGGTAGAGATGTCTAGGAATATGATCCTGGCACGGATAGCCCGATTTGTGTCGAATTTCATCTTTTAAAATGCTTTCTTCGTCTTTACATCGTACCACTCAAGCTTTCCGCTCGGAATAAAAAGATAAACACATTCCCCAGAAATTCTCCTGAAATCCCAGATTTTTATATTCAAACCGCAAGAAAATTTGATGATTCACGACTGAGAAATCGAAATTTAAAACAAGTAGGCCTACCCCCAAATCTAAGCGCGCAAAATTGTGAGACGGCCGAGTTTTCACGTGTTAAACTTTAGTCCATTAAAAACTAAATATGCAATCATAAGTATCAGTTTCTCATTCACCATGGAGAAGGAAAGACACAGAAAACAATGGTATAATTTTTATTAGTGTTTACCAAAATTAAAAACAGCTAATAGTTTGATGAAGTTGTCCAAATCTGGCTCCAGCCGTAGCTGTCTGCCTTGAAAACGGCCCGCCTGCGGTACCTACTAATAGTGAACAAGGCCTGCTTTCCAAGGGCGTTGCTGGTAGGGAGCCACCATTGTAATATTATTTCCAGCACTGTCTTACATATTCTGTCATCAACTGTCCCAAGTACATGACTTAACCCTGTCCATACGCCTGGGGTCATTTTGTACCTCAGGGCTTGTATTCTTCACATTTTAGAATACTTCTACTTCTAGTGCGAAGATCTCTTTGAAACTTTCATTATTTCTCAAAAAATCATTTTGACAGACTGCTATGCAAAGCGTACTGATCGGATTAAGGAGTAAATTTCCTCTTTGGAAAGTGGGGGCACAGAGTTCCTCACGTCGCATGGATATCATATGGATACGATAGTAAAACACAACGTATGGACAGGGTTAAAGGAAGGTTGTTTTAAAGGGTTCACTTGATTTCAGATAAAAACGGTCTTGCTCTTAATGTACAGGTGCAATATATAATGTATTAATGTGAGTATTCAGTGCTTATGATTAGTTGTTGCTCATAGTATCATTTTATTTTTTGTCGTCTCTTAATGTGAGATAAGAGTTTATGTTAATGACATCTGTTGTCAAGCCTATACCACTGGTTGGTGCAGCATAAATCACTGGGTTTGTTACTGTAGAAAGTTTGTAATGAGATGAATTTAAAATGAAGTGGATCATTTAGAATACCCTATCCAAGAGTGGGTATGTGTTATTGCTTTTGTTGTTGGGCCCATTCCCTTTGACCCAGTGCCGTCATGTAGAGGGTGACGACTGAAGTCTTTATGAGTTGTTCTTTTTTTTTTGCAGCAAACTGTGTTGGTTAAGTTGGAGTTGGGAGAAGTTAGGTTTTCTTGTTGTGTTACAGGCATCACTTGTTTTTTTCTTTCACTTTATCTGTGGCTTCTGATGATTACTTAAAAATTTCTTTAAAATGAATTGTCTTTAACAGTGCAAGGTACTAGATATTAGGGTTCTGTTGGTATATGCTTTGGAAGCTGTCTTCTGCCATATTTTCATATTTAAAATACATTTTGTCACTCTCACAAAAGCTTCAAATGCTTATTTTCCTATCGTGTGAGTTCCAACGCCTCCATTTTAAAATGTTATCAAAAGATGTAGTTTTCTTCTTTATGACATGTGTGAATAAAATAACTAATGTTAGCAAAGTATTAAAGAAAGGAAAATCTATATTTTTCTTAGTTTTGAGAGGTACAGTCGAGCACGGATAACATACATATATGTCAGGGGTTGACAAATAAATTCCAATTGTTCAACGCATTCGTAATCCAGGTAAACCATAAGGGTCAAGTAATATAGTGCAAGACTTCTCACCAACTTTTGGTAAAATTTAACACTTCGCTACCTCAGAATTACAAAGTCCTATCTGCTCTGTACCAAGTTTTGAGAAATTTAATATCAAAATTTTTGAGTTTCACAATATGTCAATCTTTTTCTAATGCAGTTCTTTGTATCTTGATAACGACTCCGACTATTCTTACGATTTTGATTGACCAGATTGAGCATTTACTTTCTGACCTCAAAACAGTCAAAAATGTCAGAGAGAACTTCTTAATTCTGAGGTAGCCACTTGGCTTCTATTGGCAGGTGGTTGGAGGGTGCCACTGGAAGGTTCTATTCTTTACTTTACCTCTGTTGTTTCTGTCTGTCTTACTTTCTCCCAGCAGTTAATGACATTATTGTGTCGATGTGCTTCTCTTTACTCAAACAAAACAAAGCTTCTATTGTCAGACAATTTCAGTAAGTTTTCCTTGCTCTGCCATCATGAAAAGTACTCAGTATCGATAAAAGGATAAATGGATGGGTAGTGCATGCACCTTTTTCGTGTTGAAGCAAGAGAACGGAAGAGGATGATGTTGAAAAGCCATACAACTTTTTAAAATGTTAATGGTCTTGGAATAGATGATTGTCATGACAGTGCTACCGACTCTAGTCAGAGAACACCATCTACCCTTATTGTGTAATCACCTCCCGATCCACACCTTCACGTTAAACAACTAAATGCACTCAAATGCAATTCACTGTACTGCCCAGTGCGTTTTTAATCCCACCTCCCAGCACCCGCTCTCAGTGACTAAGATTCAAGGAAGTTCTTGTGCCTTACTCGCACTACAGGTACCATTTTGCAATGATGCTTCTTGATACTAGTTGAGTGTGGTGTGTATCACGATGTGCAGGGGCAAGCCTGTTAGGCTCATGTAACCTGATACAATACACTCTCTTTGACGATTGGTGTGTTTATTTTTTATCTTTGGCGTAGGGAGATGTGAATGTAAGAGACATTTGTTGGGGAAAATTTTGGTGCGATTTTTCAAGATGAGCTGACTGACACATCTGTGCGGGTGTTTAAGAAAACAGTGCTGCCAGTCTTTAAAAAATGTAGCGGTTCTCTCTGAGAATGGCATATTGTTCAAGATATCCATGGATTTGAGTCGGGTTTAAGTTATCTGTGCTCGATTGTATAACAACTTAAAGTAAGATGTAGTAACATGAGTGCATGGACTTAATAGAGTTTATTAAGTCACGACCTCTTGTTTGTTCAGTTAACCATCCAAGTGTCAATAACAAAAAGCCTGAAGTATCAAGGGAAATTATATGATTCTACCACATTATGTTGGAAAGTACTTGAGAACAGGCAAACCTAGTAAGTTGGGGCCATACATTTTCGGAGAGTAGAATGTATAAAGGAAGTAAGCTCATTTGCGATGAAATAGCAATGTTTGGCGCCATAAACTGTGAGATAAACGAACTGAAATAACTACACAAATAATGGTTGATTAAATTGGCATCAACACTTTGAGAACCAAACTTACGGCCAACTTTTGTTGGAGAGTTAAATAATTTCATAATCCAACTGGGAGCCATTAAGTCTGGTAAAATTGTCATGTTAAGATTGAGAACGTTTTTGTGTGCCATAATAACATGCCAGGTGGTGTGATTTCTCAGATAATGGCTGGGGAGGAGGGAAGATTATATTGTGTGTGGCCAGGTAATAAACAATACTCCTCATTTCTTGTCAAATGAAGCACTAGACTGTTCAGTTGTAATTTATATCATTGGGGGAAGTGATATGTGTGTCTTGTTTGTTTTTGGAGAATATGGTAGACTCCTGGTATTGTGTAACTGTACTATACTAAAGATAAGTTTTTGTACTCTGTCGAAACATTTTGAGTCTGTCAGTCACACTTTAAATTGCTGAATACAAGTGATAATTATGATGTGGAGTCCTACTGCACATGTATCATATTTATTAGCTGAAGAGACTATTGCACACCAGAGTTTGTATTTGACTAATTTTAGGACATTTGATTGTCTTTTTGCGCTTACTTTCTGTGAAACATAGCCGTATTTAGATAGTGGAACTATCGTGACATCAGGAAAAAAGTTTGGTTTCAAAAGAAAAAGAACTTTGGATGTAATTGTTGGTCTATGATGATATAAGAAGGGAAAAGTCATAATATTGTCGCTTCAGAACTATTTTGTTCAAAGTGCCTCTCTTTACACTTCACTTTACTTAAGTACT